ATGTGCCTAGTCAGCACGGACCAGGGAAGACGTCTTTTTGTCGGGTTTGTACTACAAAAGGTGGGGTACCAAGTTGTCATTCCATACGGCTACTAGAAACCTACGTTTAGTCGTAAGAAAGAGGAGGTTTTAGCAGATCAACTCAAAAAATGGTTTTTCAATATAAAAGCCCAAAGTAGGTACTGGTATACCTGTAAGAGGGTAGGAGGAGGACCCAGGTAGATTTCGAGAGATCGTTGGAAGTCTTCCCGGACCTGTACATTGACCGAATTCGTCCCCCCTGTGCAGACGTGAAGTCCTAACTTCAGGGACCGCCGCATCACACAATGCTACCATCGGAAGCAATGAAACCAGGGGTCGAGGGAGACGTCAGTAACTGATCTAGGGGGGCACACAGACCCTATAAAACGAGTGGCAAGAAACACTAGTAAACTGGGGTGCCCACTCTAGACGCACCTCGGGGTCAGCTCCCTCTTAATAGTACCAGAACATCAGAAGGTAAAGATTATTAACGAGGGTGTCAACTAAGAAGTGTGGTTCGACGAATGGATAACCGTCTAGTCAGAAGGCGTCGGCGACCACGTCAGATGTTAAATCAAAGACACAGGCGAAACTGTCCGACGTAAACAAGAACCGGTATCACCTCAAACCTACACGACAACTCCAACACTTGTCCACAGAAAATTTATGACTATTGCTTCAAGTTTGTCCACGCGTAATTATGTCGAATTTGTTCACCTCCTATCTCCTCCGAGAATTTCTCTTCAATGTCCAGACACTCTCGGTCTTTAGAAACAAACAAAAACAAGTAACTTGTTGTATGAATAAAAGGTGTTAGCTAAACGTTTATTTAAGAATTTTTTCAGTCTGATTACACTAAAAGACCTAAAAAACAAGAGTAAAACAGAGGAGTTTCAAACTCCATTGAATGGGGCCATGTATCGTGAGATTTTGAGTGACAACCTCCTTCCATCAGCAAGGGCATTGAAGATGAAACGTGGCTGGGTCTTTCAGCATGACAATGATCCCAAACACACCGCCCGGGCAACGAAGGAGTGGCTTCGTAAGAAGCATTTCAAGGTCCTGGAGTGGCCTAGCCAGTCTCCAGATCTCAACCCCATAGAAAATCTTTGGAGGGAGTTGAAAGTCTGTGTTGCCCAGCGACAGTCCCAAAACATCACTGCTCTAGAGGAGCTCTGCATGGAGGAATGGGCCAAAATACCAGCAACAGTGTGTGAAAACCTTGTGAAGACTTACAGAAAACGTTTGACCTCTGTCATTGCCAACAAAGGGTATATAACAAAGTATTGAGATGAACTTTTGTTATTGACCAAATACTTATTTTCCACCATCATTTGCAAATAAATTCTTTAAAAATCAGACAATGTGATTTTCTGGATTTTTTTTCTCATTTTGTCTCTCATAGTTCAGGTATACCTAGGATGAAAATTACAGGCCTCTCTCATCTTTTTAAGTGGGAGAACTTGCACAATTGGTGGCTGACTAAATACTTTTTTGCCCCACTGTATATATATATATATATATATACACACACAATATATATATATACATTTTTTTGGTCACTTTAATGAGACACATTTTGGATTTATAGTAAGCATACTATGGGAATTTGCATTGTAGTGCATGAAAACGGTCTGCGTTATGAAACAAGTATTACACAACAGCAATGAGATGCATAATCAGTAGACAGTTGTAGTCTGTTTTCAACTTTGTGACCTGAGAAAAGAGCAACTGCATGTATGGCAAGGTGGAGGGGGGGGATAGTAACACATTGGAGCTCTGAGACGACAATGAAATGACGGGTGGTACAGTTGCACAAAAAAAACATCTTAAAGGGAGTTTCCCCTTTTGAATTGCAGTTCATTGATAAAACAAGCTGGGTCTAAAACAAAGAGTAAACAAATGCAGATGAATAGGCGGTCTGAAAGTATGTTTGGCAGAGCAAGAGGAGTGGCAAGTGAAACCCAAGGCGAAAAATGTTGTCTGTCACTTTTTCTTCCGAGGACAAAGTTAGCTGTCGTTTCATGCCAAGTGGCCGTGATGTATTGCGTTAAGTAGTCACGCTTTTGTCCAGAAAAACGTTCCAATTGATCCAGTATTTAACTGCTGCAGTGATGATGGACGTGAGCCATTTCCAAACAGAAAGGGCTTTAAGAGAAAAAGTGGAGATAAAGGTTAAGTGGCAGAAATAGTCAGAAGTTTGGAGGGGGATAAAGTTAGGCAGTGAATATGACGTCACAACTTCTCTATTTGGAAGTCCTTTCGCAACAAAAGATTTCCGAGGAAATGCAAGTACATAAAACATGGTCAATTATTGCACAGTGGCCATTTACAACACTTAAAGTCATGATCAAATTTATTGAGTACAGAAACTACTGAAACGTAATGCTGAGGAAGGAATTTTTTTTTTTCGAACAAAGCCTACAGTGTCAGTGAGCAGCCGTGGGTGCCGCTGTGTTTATCGAAGGACTCGGCTGTTGTCAAAAAGACAGATAGTTGCCCTTTGTCACAATTCTGCGTAATGAGCCTCATTATTTATTTTGTTGCTGCCATGGCTACAGTTGGAGAGGCATGATGTATGGGGTTTCTCAGCGCTCTGACAACGCCATTCTCTCTAATGACACATGCAGTGTTTTACCTGCGCTGCATGAGAATCCAGGCATGAAACAGACTAAGGCAACAACGGCTAAGCAGGGCTCTGCGTGATGCTTTGAAGTGCTTTTCATCAGGAGATTATCGACAGGAGAAGGAAAAATAAAAGATAGCCTTGAAATTGTCTTCACTGTTCTCCAACACCCTGAATAAACAAAAAAAGTTATCCAGCTCTACAGCAATATGAAATGAACTAGAAGAGAGAGCGATACTTATTCTGTGTATTCAAAAGGTTTAGTATGACTATAAAAAGCAACGGTGGTTATACAAACTAGTGAGTTTATTTAAGACTAAGATTAAATAGATTAAATAGCTTTATAGGTTTATCTTTTTAATAAGTAACGTATAGAAAATGTGAGTTTTAGTGTGGATTATTTCTGAAATGCTGATTGGAAGCCAAAAACTGACCAAGCACATTGTTCTCAACATTTTGGTAATTTTTATAGTATTATAAATGTTACGACTCTTCAAACATAGTTTTTTTGTAACATCAGTAATCTCCAATTAAGGCAAAGATGGATATCATCAAACCTCTTCAAGATAGCAATCAAAAGCTAGTTTCAATGCCACACTGCATCCAGAATAAATCCAAAAATAAAACATCCAAGAGTCACTGAGATTAAACACAGCCTGCAGTCAAGAGTTCAAAGGTCAACGCTTCAGTGCCCTGCTCTCAGTCCATGTTGTAATATCTGTGTGCAGGTATGCTGGTCTCGGGTCAGACGTGACGCGCTGTGCTCCATCACTGAGCTGCGAGGCAGAGACGTTCGTTTGACCAGAAAACTCTGGTCTGAAGCGCAGTGTGCTTTGATGTGAGCCTAATATGGCTTGTAAAAAGGGGGATCCTGCACTTTAAAGTGTTGCCTGACACTGTCCAGACCCAAGTGTGTGTGTGTGTGTGTGTGTGTGTGTGTGTGTGTGTGTGTGTGTGTGTGTGTGTGTGTGTGTGTGTAGTACTTGGACTGTAGTAGGTATGTGTCTGTCATCCTGGAGTTATAAAAGTGATGTAAACATTGAGAGAGGCCTGGAGAGAAAGAGTTTGAGAGAGAGAGCGGTTTGCAAGCAGAATGTGTAACTGTAGTAGAGCGGGACTGAGCATCATTTTTTGTTTTTATTTATTTTAACTCTTAAATGCAACGTGCAACGCAACAAGCAGGATTTGCCCTCTTTCCATCATTAAACCACTAAGTGCATATTTTAACCTGATTCCCACGAAAAATAAGCAAAAGAAAATATGAATGGATGTACTTATCCATCCATTGTTATGGC